AGACTCACACAGACATGTGCACCCGACTCTGCGGCATGAGTTTGCAGGTTCGGCCTTGCTGCTGGCACCTTTGCGGGCTTGCATGGGCATGTGCATCCGATTGTGCGCCATGTGCGTGCATATGTCACCACCTCTGAACCCCAAAACGAGAATGGGCACGATCGGAATGAGCATGATTGTATGCGCCTGCGGCGAGTTGTTGTCAAAGTTTCACGGCCGAGTCCAGAGCAAACCCATCTTTCCGATTCGCGTCTGCGCGTCTGCGTGGAGGGGGTATCACGGGCACAGCCATTATACCCATTTAGAGATGTGTGCAAATGTGTATAGGTGTGTTGCGAGAGGGAGGGAGTGAGAGAGAGGGATACAGTGAGAAACGGAGAGAAATATAGATAGTAAGAAGGAGTGAGAGAGAGAGAGAGCGAGAGAGAGACAAACAGACAGACACACAGACAGACAGACAGACACACAGACAGACAGACAGCAAGAGAAAAAGAGAGAAGGAGAGAGAGAGAGAGAGAGACAGAGTGAAACACAAAACGACAGACCAGCAGAAGTCGGGTTTTTAGGCTTCTGGGCAATCTCGATGCTGTTGTCGCATACCCTATAACGCTCCTGCCTAATTCGCCCCCCCCCTCCACCCGAACCGCTGAAAGGATGTGCCGAACAATCGCGGAGCGCGACGCCATTGCCTGTGCCCTGGTGCAGGCCTCAGCCAGAACTGCCGCAGTGCTTCTTCTTCGGGATTTTGCAGGATCCTGCAGAGCCAGGGTCGCATTTTCTGGGGCTTGGGTGCAGGACCCTGCAGGATCTCAGGACCCTGCAGAGTCAGACTGGTCCGGTCTGGACTGCCCTGGGCCAGTAGATCCGCGACTTTTCTGAAGGGGTTGCCATGCAGCCTCGGCGGAAGATCCACACGGCGCACAAGAACACCTAGCCCCCGAGCGCAGGCCTCAGCCAGCACGACCTGCTTCCTTTCCGGATCTTCCCTTCTCCCCGTTGGCAAGCAAGCCGGAGGGTTCCAAAGGGTTTTTTTGGAGTGGGTTTTCCAGGAGGGGTCCCCCAGGGGCCTCGGAGCATCGTCAAAACAGGGGGTGCGAAGCCCCTGGGGGACCCCTCCTGGAAAACACAGTCACCAAAAGCCTCGTTTGGAACCCTTTGGGCAAGCGCAAGCGGCAAACAAACGCAACCAACAGAACCAATCTGCAGGTGGACGGGATTGCGCACATGGCCGGGCAGGCATCGGCTGTGCTGCATGCGCCCTGTAGCACGAAGCGTATCGTGTGGGGGAGGGGGCGGACATGTGGTCGCATGGGCTGACGAGCTGCTTTGCCAGCGCGCCATTCGCATACCCAATCTTGTCGCGTGCCCCCGGTTGTTCCCTGTTATTTATCTCTTCAGTCACTCCACATCCCTTTGCTGCCTGCCCCTTCATTTCCGCTTGTGTGCTCTCCATGCCGCGTTGTCCTCTTGCCATCCCTCTCCCTCGCATTATCCTTGCCCCACCTTTCTGTTTCGCACAATTCGTACAATGTCATCTCTATCTGCGTCGTCTTCCTTCTCATTTGACAATTTCCCTCACAATATGCCTCTTCTCTCTCTAGTCTGCCTCACATTTTTCCTTCGCTTTTGTTTATCACCCGCGTATGCCGCTCTGTTCCCTTGCCGCCCTCTCGGCATACCTCGCCAAAGTGACGCTCGTTCGCTATACCCTCGCCCTCCTCATCGATAGGGTTTGTGGTTCAAGTTTGTCGTTCCTGCTGCACTGCTCCCGGCTCAGGCCCTCTTCTGAATGGGGATTGCGGTGCGACGACGCGCCGCCTTTCGAGGGCTGTCTCTGGCCGTCCTGCTGCAACTGTTCCTGCAGACGACCTGTAGCAGCAGTGGCCCAGTGCCCGACAACCTCGATGACCTCGACATGAGCGGTTATGACGACACAGACGACATGGGCGATATGGGCGACATGGGCGACGGCGATCCTGACGGCGGTGGACCAGGCGGCTCTGGCGAGACTGCCCTGGGTGCCCTGAAGCTCGACAGTCTGACTTTCGACAAGGTGGTGCGCAGCGAAGGCTGGACGACCCTCGTAAAATTCGACACGCATGCACACTGGAATCGAGACGACGAGGTGGAGGGGCATTTCAAGACGCTGTGTGGCCAGGCCTACGAGGCGCCGAATTTCCTCGTCGGGGAGGTGCAGGTGCAGGCGGGCGACGATTCGCCCGAGAGCAACGATGATCTGCGCAAGAGGTACCAGGTCTCCAGCGACCAGTTTCCCGCGTATTTGTTGTTTAAGGAGGGCCCCGAGAAGCCCATCGTTTATCGAAGACGCCTACGGCGAATCAGCGCCGCCCCCTGCCTTTTGGAACCGCCCATGCGGCCACACGTTGGGCCGAAGTCATGCCAAGCTATTGGACTACAGTGGAGAATCATGCCAAGAAACGCCCTGCTTGCCTCCAGGGTGCCCTGGGCTTCTTGGGTCTCGAAGGTGTTGCTATGGAAAGCGTGACGTTCACACACCAAAAATCCATGGATGTCTTGTGGTCTCAGGGTTGGGTTTCTTGTGGAAGGTTTCTTGTGGTCGGGCCCCTACTGTATGGATTCCCCCAGCCGTTGTGGAAACCCTTGGGGGAACACCGGGGAGAGGACGCGAAAGGAGGAGGAGAGGAGATGTCGGGGGCGGCAAACAGGGGGGTGATGACTAGGGGGGGGGATATCATTGCGTGGGCCATGATATTTCCTCAGATTGCATGTCGCCTCTTCTTATTTCATTACGTCCCTGCCCCCCCCCCTGGGCCGCGCACATGCCGCTGGCCATGATTTGCGCCCCCCCCCCCCCCCCGCTCTGTGAGCCGCCCTAGAGGATGATAGGGAGGAGACGGCGGAGGAGGAAGGAGAGGAGGTCTCTTGAGGCCCTCTTAGGGCTCGTGGGCGCTTCCTGGACACCATTGGTGGTATCTTTTGGGGCTTCCTGGAGCCTGCTGGGACCTCTTGGGGATCTCCTGGCGTGTGTTGAAGTGGGTGGCGGGGATGCATGCAGGCGGCACCATTTGGTCCTTGGGTGGAGCTCCATACATGGGGCCACGAAACGTGTGAGATGTGCGCCGAAATTGACATGCGGAGGGTAGAGACAGGGATAGGAGGAGAGAGGATGGGGAGGAGGGACGAGGAGGAGAAGGGGGCGCGGCATAGTCTTTTCAAAACGAGGACCCAACACCACAGGATGGTTAGGAAAAACATAGTCAATACACCTGTCCAGATGCAGCCTGTCTGGCCCATTCCCACCCGCCCTGCCCACACGTGAGTCACATCCGATTTCAGCATACACAGCTGTCGTCCTTGGATGGACAGCCACTGGGAACCAATACAGACCCCAGGTGCGCGACGCTGGGGCGGAGTGCGCCACGCGCGCCGGCGCGCCACGCGCACCACGCGCGCCAGGCGTCCCTGCTGCCCTAGCATACCAGGCACGCCAGGAGTGCCAGATGCGCCAAGTGTTCCACGTGCGCCAAGTGTGCGCATGCTCTGGCCACGCCAGGTGCGCCACGTTCAGGGCACGCGCAGAGTGTGCCAGGTACGCCCGTGCACGTCGGGAAACATGCCGGCCCTTACCGTCCTTGTCGAAAACCCACTCGTAATCGCGGCAGAATGGCAATCATGATGTCTGGTGGGACTGCGCACAGAAGGTAATATGCCAGCACCCCCGCGGTCCCTGTAAAAAAACCCATGCAACGTGATCGCGGGGGGTCGGCGCATGATCCAGAGTTTGCCGCGAAGTGCAGTTTGTAGGATTTTCTACCAGGACGGTAGCATTGCGCACAGCAGGCCGCATGCTGGTTCCCCCGCCGTCCTTGTCGAATAAACCTGGGCGAAGGACCCAACCATATGCGGATGCGAGTACCGCAAGTCAAGTGGGACGAAGCGGGGCAGCCCCTTCTGGGGCCACGAACCGTGTGAGGGGTGTACCGAATCGGGCGCGGTGCCGCCATGCGAACGCAGCCAATGCGACCTTCGGTGTGGCTCCCTACGGGGCCACGGAACGTGTGAGTGGTGTGCCGAATCTGTGGCGAGTGCGCCATGCGAGCGCTGGCATTGGGCCTTCGGTGGAGCCCCCCAAGCGGCCACGAATCGATCGTGTGCGAGGGGTGTGCCGAATCGGGCGCGGGTACGCCATACGAACGCAGCCATTGGGGCCTTCGGTGGAGCTCCCCATGGGGCCACGAAACATATGCGAGGGGTGTGCCGAGTCGGCCGCGGGTATGCCATGCGGACGCAGCCACTGGGGCCTTCGGTGGAGCCCCGATATTGGGCCACGAAGCGTGTGAGGGATGTGCCAGATCGGGCGAGGTGCCACCATGCGGACGCAGCCACTGGTTTCGGGGCGGGTACGCCATGTGAGCGCAGCCACTGGGGCTTTCGGTGGATCTCCCTCTGTTGCTGAGAAATATGTGAGGGGTGTGCCGAGTTGGCCGCGGGTACGCCATGCGAACGCAGCTACTGGGACCGTCGGTGGAGTTCCCAATGGGACCACGAAGCGCGTGAGGACTGTGCTTATTCGGGGGCGGGGGCGCCATGCGAACGTAGCCGCTGAGGCCTGCGGTTGAGATCCCTGTCGGGACCAAGATCCGTGTAAGGGGTGTGCCGAGTCGGCCGCGGGTACGCCATGCGAGCGCTGGCATTGGGGCCCTCGATGGAACTCCCTGCGGGGGTACGAAACGTGTGAGAGATGTGCCGAAGTGGTCCCGCAGAGAGGGGCAGAGGCAGGGATGTGAAGAGGGGAACGACGCGGGGCGCTGTCTCTTCAAAAAACGCGGACCCAACACCACAGGATGGTTGGGAACAGTGTAAAGTGATCGCGGGGCCCCCGAACACGACCCAGTATATTTCCGCAAAATAAATGCTGCACTTTTTTTCGACAGGACTGAGGTGGCGGGGAAGACGCCCGCATTGTCCTGGGTTTGTCGCCGGTCGGGTGGGGGAAGGGGTGTACATTACTAATAAGGAGCAGTGGTAAACCATTTTCCCGTGGGGGAAGAAGGGGAAGGTAGGAGAGGAAACGATTTGAACTGCCTCCCCCAAGAGGGCTGGTGGAATTTCGGCACGGCACTTGCTCCGTCACCGCGCAAGCCTTCTCTTTCCTCCGCCCTCTCTGCCTCGTGTTTGTGTTATTGCGGCACTGGCGTGGTCGCGCCCCTCCCCAGCCCCGCCCGTTCTTCCTCCAGCAGGCAGGACGCGTCCTTTCCCTTCCTCCGCTGCCAGCCCAGCCCCCCCCCCTCCAGCAGGCAGCCCACCCCCTCCGCAAAAAGCACTCCGAACGCCCCATCCGCCACGACATGTTCATGTTCTTGCACCCTGCCTCTAGCGTTCCAACATATTTGGTTCTCCCGATGCGGCGCGCCACCGCAGCTTCACTCGACCGCACCATGCCCCGCTCCGCCCCTGCCACGAGACCTGTCCCTCCCCTTCCTCCACCAGCTCGCGCGCCCCCTCTGTCTGACCCCTTTTTCGCACGGCGCGGCACGGTACGGCGCGGCAGCATGGGCCCACCGAAGCGACGTCTTTCTCCCCGCAACCAGCCCCGCTCCTCTTCCGAGAAACCCACGTACCCCCTTGCTCCGACACTTTTATTTGCGGCACCGCAGTCCCGCTTCACCGCAGCCAGGGAGCCCCTTGCTAGATTCGCTTCCCCTTCATGCAATGGCAAGCGTGCCCTGAGCCTAGTCGGCCCATGGCCATGGGCCGCTCAAGCCAACCCCCAGGGTCTCCCAGACGGCCGAAGCAGCCATCCAGGGACCCTGAACACGGTCCTTGTGGCCACCGTATCGCATACAGCGATCTAAGGGGGGCCAAAGCCCGACCAACGCTTCCAGGGCATCGGGTGATCACGCGCCACGCCACGACAGCGTAGTGCGTAAGGCACTGTTGCGGATTCGGGGGCCAAAACGGCCACGAGCTTATTAACATGGTTGCGCGGGCATGGCGTGAAGATCGCGGCAGTAGGCACCATCGCCGAGATCGACGCGATCATTGCCCAGTTATCGGCTGGCAGCAACATTGAGGACAGACATATTGCAGAGGTGCAGAAGTTGGGCGAGAACGAGTTCAAGGGCGACAAGAGGGTTGACGTGTATGTCAAAATTATGAAGTCCATACAAAGCAAGGGGAGCCAGTACGTTGCATCTGAGACGCAGCGTCTTCAGAAGGTGCTGCAGGGCCAGCTCTCGGAAGAGAAGCGAGGGCAGCTTGGCGAGAAGCTGAACATCCTCAGCGTTTTCCACCCACCGGCTGCGAAGGATGAGCTGTGAATGGGCGGGGGGGTGTTCTGCTGCGCTCGAGGGCCAGCAGATGCTGCTGACGCTTGCATTGCCTCCCCCCCTCCCACACACCTTCCGAAAGGCGACGACCGCCGTGAGAAGTCGTCCAGAGCACGGTGGACACCTCCGCCCAGCGGGTTGCAGACGAGCATCTCGGGCGCCCCTCCTCTTCGACGTGGCCACGGCGAGGGCAGGGCAAGCTCGCTCTTGTTTCCGGAGTCTTGGTTCTAGCTTTGCGCGCCGCGGCGGAGAAGGGACGCTCAGGAGCGCCTGGCAAATCCGCGTCGCCACAGACCCGGCGTCTGTCGCGGCAGACGCCTTGCGTGGGGAAACACACATGCAATGGTGTCAACATTGATGTGTCACTGTCAGTGTCTGCGACGGTGTGTCCGTGCATCATCGCGATGCCCACCATCTATATACGGGGGTGGCGCGGATCCCATCATCATCATCGCCATCGTCATCGCCATCATCATCATCATCAACATCATCATCATCATCATCATCATCATCACCACCACCACTATCACCATCACCATCGCCATCATCACCATCATCACCATCATCATCATCACCATCATCATCGTCGTCATCATCACCAACATTAGCAGTATCATCAGCATCATCACCATCATCATCATCATCATCATCATCATCATTATCATCATCATCAGCAGCATCAGCATCATCATCATCATCATCATCAGCATTATCATTATCATTACCATCATCATTACCACCACGATGGCCTGGGGCATCACCACTGTCATCATCACCACCATCATCATCGGTGTGGGATTCCTTTGTGCGCGCCGCCTCAGGGGACGCTCCAATCTCTAGGGCCTCGTTGCTTCGAGGGTGCCAAAGGCTGACCTCTCACCCCCGACGGAGGCTGGCGGAAGGCTCGCGGAAGTCGGGGTGAGGTACCACGAGGTTGGTGTTGATGCTTGGCGGAGGCCAGAAGGAGGAGAGGAAACCGGCCGCACCCCTCCTTGAGAGAGGGCGGTTGTTAGTGGGACTCGCTTCCCCCTAAATGAGGAACTTTGCCCGTCGTGGATTTGTTACGTGAACTTGCGGAGGCGGCGGTTTTCGTCGTGGTCCAGGTAACCGACCGCGCCCCTCCCCGAGAGAGGTCGGTGCTGGGGCTGACCTCCTCGGAGTTCCCAAGGTTGGGCTCTGACTTGCTCGGGGGTGGGGCTGGGGTCTGTGGGGGTGGGAGGAGGACGGTACGGCTAATGTTAAGTCGGACGTGTCCCTCTGCAGGAGAAAAAGTTAGAGATACTCAAAAACAGTCGGGGACGCTTCTGGAGTATCTTTTGATCATTGTGGAGCATTTTTGGGGGTATGTTTTATTTTTCGCTCTCAATCCGCCTGTAGGGGGACGCGCCCGACCTAAAGCTAAGCCTCTGTGACAAGATCCTCGCTGATCTCGAGGGGGGCTCGGTGCTCCTCGGGCCACTCCCGTGCGCTGCTCCCTGGCGCTCTCCCCGCGCGTCTTTCAACAGGGGGGACCAGACGGGTGGGCTCTGCGCCGTGCCTCGGGGTTTCTCGCGGGGGATCGGGAAGTTCATCGAGCAGGCGACGACCTCGCTCCCTCGGAGGAAGGCCGCCGGAAGGCGGCGGAAGGGAAAGCACAAGAGTCAGGCGATCGCAAACATGGATTAAGGGGGCGTGGATTTGGTCCCGCTTCCGTGGAAAATCGCGGATTTCCGCCGCCGAGCGAGGCGGCACCGGCCGCACTTTGGGAGGAGGGCACCTGCCCCGATCCATGGATTTGGCGACCGCGCGCCAAATCCATGGATCGCTAATCCATGTTTGCGCGCCCTCGACGGAGGAAGGCCGTCGGAAGGTGGCGGAAGTGGAAGTACAAGGCGCCAACCTGTTTGAGATTCAGAGTGCCTTGCTGGCAGAACTCTGGACTGCATGAAGTTGTGGATCCAGGCCTCCCAAAGGGGGTTCGAGCAGGTGGGTTCGGAGGATCGCGCCGCATCGCCGATGCATCGGCGATGTGGCTCGATGTGGGGCCCGCTGTTCTTCACGCCGACGGCGCCGATGCATCGGCGATGCGGCGCGATCCTCCAAACCCATCTGCTCGAGCCCCACTGAGGAGGCTTCCAGAGTGGCGCGCAGCACTCCCCGTGGTTGCGCGGTAAAGCGCCCAGTACCTCAAGGCGCCCTGGAAAGACCCGCCTGCACGCGGCCGAGCCCCTCAGTCTCGGGGGGGTCCAAGTCAGATGGGGGAGGCTTGTGTGTGGACAGCATGGCCAGGGCCATGACATCTCCCAGACCTCATGGGCCTTATTCCTTTCTTTCGGCACAGCCCCAGCGAGGCTGGCCCGCATTATGCTAAAAGCTTTGTCGCGCGGATGACGCCCAAAGGGGCTGTGGCGTGGATGGGCCAGCGCATCCACAGAACCATCTGGCAGCCTGGCAACATAGCGGTGCTGGTAGGCCAGTACACCCGAAAGCACACGTTCCCGCAGGCGCCTTGGCCCCCATTCGTCCGCGCATGTGCCTCGGCCCATGATGCGCTGCCCCCCCTCCTCCTCCTTCTCCTCCTCCTCCTCCTCCTCCTTCTCCTCCTCCTCCTCCGCCTCCTGGGCATCTAGAGCGCGGCGGCACGGATCTGGACACGTTCGTCGCAGGCGGCCCCTCCCGCCCTGCTCTCGTCCTCTCTCGCGGAGGCGCGGGGGTCTCCCAGAGGCCCACAAAAGTGCCAGAGCGCCCAAAGCCTTGATCATCGATTCTCGTCCTCATCCTCGCTCCATCTTCGATTCACGTCCTCATCCTCGATCCGTCTCCCCCGCACGGGCAATCCTTCTCCCCTGTTCCAGAGAGTTGCCGGGTACTCCTGAGATGTGAATCATATGATAAGTACCTGGTGCATGTTTGCTTGTGCGTCTGCCTCGGGACGGAGGCGACAGCGCACGACCTAGAATACAAGACTCGCCGTACAGGCAAGTGTGAGTGCGGCGAGATTGATACAGTGCACCCTCGCTTGTTCACGTGCTCGCTAGCGGCCGTCGCTGGCGCTCGCGAGCAGGCGGATGTCAGGGGAACGGTGTTTGAGGCTATTCAGGATCCTGGTAATGTCGAAGCGTCGGACATCCCCACGATTGAGCGAGCCCCTATCACTGAGGTCCTCCATGGGGACAGGGAGGTGCTGGCAGAGCTCGGTCCAGAGCAGGCTGTACAGTTCGCTGGCCAGGCTTCTCACCTAAATCTCGCAGTGGATGTCGTCTGTGGTACCATTACAGGAGGATGCACTCAGACCCCAGCTAGGGCAGAGAATTTCGCCAGTGGAGTTGCCAGTCATATTGCCGACCGTTGTGCCAAGCCGCATGCAGATTGCAAAGCAGCGATCGCCCAGCCGCCTGCCCACAGCACGTTCAGCTCCGACCGTCGAAGCCGTTCGCGAGGTGTCGGCCTTCGCTCGATCACTAGAAGGTTATGGTCACACCGAGGCCATCCTGCATGTGAACGCTCACCGTAGTTTGGAAGTGATAGGTTCTACAGGCTTCTGCCTCTCCGTCTGCGTGTATCCGATAAGTCGAACGACACGGTCATGACGGGTAGCGCGCTTACACCCAAAGCGTCGCGCGATGGACGTAGGGGGAATTGCATCTATTTGCCGTCGACCCATCCCGCCTCTGTGCCTGGGGTTGTGAGCCAGAGGCCTCTAGGATGCCAGTTGGGATCGATTGGGGACCTCTTTGCAGCCGTCTTGGAAGCCTCTGGGGCCGGGCCAGAAAGATCATGGTGGCCTCTTGGGTCGGTTTCCACGCCGTGAAAGCGCAAGTTGCGAACATGCTAAATTGGTATGTAATGCCGAAGGGAGTGGGACAATGTTTGGTTGTTGGGCTGCTCCGAGAGGTGCACTTGGCGGCCTCTTCGGGCAGCCTGGAGCCGTTTCGATCGGTCTGCACACCATCTTGGGGACATCCGAACGACCTTGCGGCGAATCTTGGCCTTGACCGTCTTGGGGGCCCCTGGCAGCCCTGATGGCGCCAGGGCTCCTGCCCTGAGGAGCCCATCCTGGGGTCGTCCCGGGCACCGCGGGGGGGGGATGGGGGGTGGGGGGGATTTCCGGTTTCGAGTGCCTGGGGGAGGAGGTGATGGGGGAGGGATCTCACACGCCTAGGGAATCTCACATTTCTAGGGACCCACAGTGCCTGAGCTGCGGGCGGGTCAGAGTCCTCAGGTATGCTTCTTGGGGTCTCTTCGTAACGCTCTGGGGGTCCTCTGGGGGGCAGTTTGGGGGCCTCTTGGGAGCCTCAAGAGAGCCTTATAGGAGCGTCTTGGGGGCCTCTTGGGGCTTCCTGCGGGCCTCTTGGGAGCCTCTTAGGGCCTCTTGGAGGCTTCTTGGGGGCCTCTTGGGGCCTCCTGGGGCCTCTCGGGGCCGAAGGCTCGAATCGCAGCTTGGAAGTGATACATAACCTTGCGCCTGAGGAGCATCCCCCAGCGCGAGGTAACCGTGCTGCTGACTTTCACGCTGAGGAGGCCGTGAGGCTGTATGCTCAGATCAAACCAGAGGCAGCCAACCGCCAGGAGGCAGAGGTCCAGTCAGCAGCGAACTTCGTCAGGCTAGCATGTGCTATACTCCCGTTTTTCGAGGCGCGATCCACGCATCGCAAGCGCCATGTTGCCGTTCATCGCTCAGTTAAGCGTGCAGCAGGTTGGCATGAGTGGCGAGTCGGCCCCCTGGGCCGACAATGTACGACCTTTTTGGTTTGTTGGAGCAGGAAGGCGAACGCCAAGCCCTCTGATGCCCTGGTACTCCTCCCTTCCTCGCTGGGGTCGTCCGTCGTCTCCAGCGGCACGTCCTTGTCGCCGTCCGCTATAGCCAGAATCCGGGCCAACAACACCATCTTGCAGTTTCTGTATGTTTGTGTGTTGTGCGTTGTGGGTCATGGGCCCTGAGATGTGCTCTGAAGCTTGGTCGAGCCTGTGGGAGGCCCCCGCGGAAAAGTATCGGAGCGCTTCAGAAATACCGCCGCGGGACAGGCCCCAGTAGCCGAGCTAGGCAGTACATCGAGAAGTCTTCGGCCATCAGGGAGCTAGCGATCGTCTCTGCGCCGAAGCCCGCTGCACGCACGTCATTGCCAACGGTTGTGGCACCCAGTTCCAGTTTTGTCTACGCCCAGCGACTTGCTGCCCTCAAGGGACGCGTCCGCATCTGAGAGGGGAAGGCTCGAGAAGCCTGACGGTTTCGTTCAAGGTGCGGTGGCTTGTTGTGGCGTTCAGTTTGGGACCGGACAAAGGTGCTGATGGCCATTGCGCTTTGTTGTTGTTTCTCGCGGGGACTAGTCCCTCGGAGTTGTTTCATGCATCCTCCCAGCGCGCCATGCGATTATTGTGCAACTGACTGGAACCAATCTTGGAAGTATAGCACACAAAGCAGAACAAGTTGGTGTCCGACATCGTTTCAGGACAGAGGGCCATCTGCTCATGCTTGCCATCTTTCAAGAGAAAGCGCGAAAGCGTCAATTCTCAATCTGGTTTGCTGCACCAGGCGTCGAAACAGATTTTGTCACGGTCACACATACATCATAATGGGAATCCATGCGAATTCACGGAACCCCGCAATCATACGTCAGTTTCGTCACGTGTATGCACGCAAACCAGACAGTTTGCGTCAAGACGGGCGTTTGTAGCAAAAAGTCAATCATCGGCCGCGGGTGTGAAATTGGCAATGCACAACTCTGATTGGACCACCAACTTTCGGTTTGCGGGCGACGCCCCATTGATTGTAATTGCATGTAGACAGCTGAGAAACACGATCGGGGACGACATGGGCGCTGCGTAGCCGATTGGTTTCGGTATCCACGTCGGGGAAAACAGGTATTAGACAAGGTGAATACTCGTCGACCGCGCGGCCAGCCCGAACACACGATTGCCAAAGGGAACCGCATGAAAGGTATTACCGTTCGCTGGTGTGCAGAAGGGTTTGCGGCGCAACGCTGCTTTCGGCGATCCTGAAACGAAAGAGGTCGAATCTCGAATCAGAGTTGCCTGCAAGATGTTCGGCATCGTCAAACAGGATTGTTCTGCGCGATCGCACTCGCTACTAAGAAATTGTTTGTGGCTGTTCCACGGCACTCTTCCCCCATCGCTCTTGCATGGTAGCGGGTATGTTTTGGACATTGACAGCTCGGCTGGAGCCACGGCTGCGACCCACGTAACCTTACACGTTCAGGATGATGTTCGAATCTCCACGACGCCAAGCCCCAGATACCAGCGCAGCCCCAAAATCAGAGCGTTGGTCGAATGGTGCAACCGATATTTCGATCAACGCCTGCAGCAGAAAGAGTAGCAGCGACGCTACCATCGACTCAGACGACAAGCGACACCAAGGCATCGGTATCAAATGGTAGTGGAAGCGTGTTGGTACCATGGCGCGGGTGGACCCGGCGCGCGACATGCACATTCAGACATTATGCCGCATTTGGGTACGAGGACCTGTGTGCACGACAGCGACGGTTATAGTTGAGGTCTCTTGGTGCGAATGTTCGCGACGACGTAAGCACATGGAGTTGTGAGCCTGTTTATTCTCCAGGACCCACCATCTACAAGCATGAAAACGAAGCCCTTGCTGTGCAGATCATGTAAGCGGTGGTCTGTAGCATTTATTCGTGATGATTGCTCAAAGGACTGGAAATCATTTGTATTGGGCTTACGAGTATGGGACAATTTGCCAAAATCGCATGTGACCCGCACAGGGCGACTCACGGCGACACACGCAACGGGTATTGAATGACTCGGCCAGGATTTGTTTTCCTCTTTTCGGTTGATGCCCGTGCCCTGGCGCCACCGCGTAGCCCTGCATAGAGCCCCCCCGCCCGCCCGGGACGACATAGGCTCAGTCTCCAGTCTCGAGATCCTCCTCTCCGATCCCCTTTATCGATCCTCCTCGGTTCTCACCGGTCCACTTCATACTCCTGGGCCTCTGAGGTTGGAGGGGGAGGGATGGAGGGAGGAGCGGAGGAGGAGGAGGAGGGAAGGAGGAGGAAAGATGAAGGAAGAGGAGGGGGAGGGATGCTGATCCTCCAGTGCTGCGATGTCCTATCATGAGGTTGTGCCTGGTGAGCCCGAGAGCAGCCAATGCAAGGACGCAGTGCGAAAAGAGCGCAACAGCCACGATGCAGAGACAAGACCAGCGAGTAGCGCTGGGAAAGCAGGGCCAGCCAGTGGTGGTGCTGACAGGTGCGGCATGTTGACTTCGTGGAGTGGGAAAGGAAGCCTTTAACTCCCCCTTCTCCTGCTCCTCCGGTCCTGTTTCGGGGCCTGTCCCCCACCATGACCTGGAGGCGAATGCGGCCCTGGCTGTACGACGCAATCTATGTGACGTAGGCTGTGTGGTGCAAGATGTGCGGTGTAGGCCGTGCGGTGCAAGCGACGCGGCGTAGCACAGCTGGCGCAGGCTATGTGGTAGCAGCATGCTGCACAGCCTGCGCAGCCCACCCACCGCACGAGGCAGCCACGAGACACTCACGGGCGGGCGCCAGGCGGAACGTCGGCACACCCACCCAGCGCCCACGAGGCGCCCACGGGCAGGCACGCGGCGGCACCTCGGCGCACGCCCACCCAACGCACGAGGCACCCGCGAGTTTCCGCGGGCGGGCCCCGGGCGAACCAGTGGCACACACACTTTGGGCGTCGGCGGCCAGGCAGAGTAGCTGCACTGGCGGAGAGCTAGCTCAACGGGGACACCGTCGTACCGAATTGTGCCACAGTGCGGGGAGAAGGGGACAGGACAAAAGGCACGGCCGAAGAAGGGGGGGAGAGGAGCCACACACACACACACACACACGCACACAGTGGCACACACACACACACACACACACACACACACACACACACACACGCACACGCACGCACACACGCACACACACACACACACACACACACACACACACACGCACACACACACACACACACGCACACAGTGGCACACACACACACATTCACACAGAACGAGGTGCCCACGGGTGGGCACCGGCCGGAAGCCCAGCAATTTTGACCAGCTGCCTTAAGCAACAAACACTGAGTTCAAGCGTTGTTTTATTGATGACAGGGAAGGCAGACGAGGGGATTGGGGGCGGGGCGACAACGACGAGAAGGGAATCGGATTCAGAAATGTGGCATGCTGGGGCGGGAGCGCCATTCTGAACGACTGGAACAAAGGGCTGATCCTGAGATGAGTCCAGCGCTGCAGCGGGAACACCTTTTTGATCACTTTGAAACTGTTCCGACTGGAAAAGACAGGCTGGAAGCAAGAACTATATCTTCAAGTCTTGCACGCAGGGCCGCGACGCGACAGGGTCAGGGGAGACAGGAGAGAGGTATTCAGAAGCACTCAGGGGAAAGGCAGGAGGGAGGGCGGCACTTCTTCGGGCCCCGGGCCCCGCTCGGGAGGACGACGCTCCCCTTCCTGCTCATCCTCCTCGTCCTCTCGCCGTCGCCTCCTCCCCCTCCTCCTCCTCCTCCTCCTCCTCCTCCTCCTCCTCCTCCTTCACGCACGGCTGGAGCAGCAACATGCCATGGGCCTTGCTCGAGTCGGCCCCTCCCCCCGTCGGGCCTCGGGCCCCGCCCTTCTCCGCGCAGGTGCCCAGGGGGCCGCTCAGGCCGGGGAAGTCGCGCCTCCCAACCGTGGTTGTGCCAGCGCCGGGGCCCAGAGGGGCAGCCGAAGGCTGGCGATGTCGTCGCCTCCGTCGTTGTCGAGGAGGAGCGGGAAAAGCGGGAGGAAGGGCGAGAGGAGGAAGTGGATTTCGAGTGCACCCGGATTCTCCAGGGGTTTTCGGGTCTGAGGGTGTTACATCTTTTTCTCCTCCTCCTCGTTTTCCATCCCTTTTCCTTCTAGATCTCCCTGTCGCACCCCATGACGGGTAGGTAGGGCGGGCCGGGCGTTTCGCTTGATTTCGTTACCATTGATGATCCTGCATTTGAGAATGTGCAGCAAGTTCACGGATGGAGAGTTGGCCGTCTTCAAATTGTGCATCTCGCCGTAGCGCCGCGCACATTCGATTTGAAAGTGTGCAACAGCTTTACGGATTCAGGGCGGGCCGTTTTCACAATGTGATTCTCGCCTTAGCGCCACGCGCATTCGTTTTGAAAGTTTGCAAGAGCTTCACAGATGGAGGACTGGCCATTTTCACCATCTGGTTCTCGCCTTGGTGCCGCGCGCATTCGCCCTAAAAGTTCGCAAGCGTTTCACTGATGACGGGCGGACGGTTGTCAAAATGTGGCTCTCGCCGAAGCACCGCGCAGTTTTTTAAGGTTTGCAAGAGCTTCAAGGATGGAGGGCGCTTCTTTTTCAAAATGTGGTAATCGTCTTTGCGCCGCGCACATTCGTCTCCACAGTTCACAGCAGTTTCAAGGAGTATTCTCGTGAACGTCAAGGGCATGGTGTTCTGTTACGGCGTATGATTGTCAAGACGCGACAGTCACGATGCTTTGCGGTGTTGAAGTCCCAGGCATGGGGTTTGGCACGGAGTCCCAGAACTTGTGCTTGGCATGGTTGCAGATCTTCAGACGGTTATTTTCCAACGAAGCACTGGCCGCAGTGAACATACATGCTTGTAGGGACCTGCGAAGAGAGGCCTTGGAGGAAGGGTTTATTGCAGCATCGTTGATGGGTCTTGGGTTTACACTGGTCCTCCTCCTCCTCGTCCTCCTCCTCCTCCTCCTCCTCCTCCTCCTCCTCCTCCTCCTCCCCCTCCTCCCCCTCCTCCGCCTCCTCCTCCTCCTCGTATCAGTGTCTGCCTGGTCTCTGTGCCTGGCGTGTGAAGTACTATGTCCGCCAGGTCTCCTCGTCTGGCATGGCCCGAGAGACGTATGGAGCGCCTGCGTCTGAGAAGGGTGCTGCCGGTGCTTTGCTGCGTGCGATCTGCAGCCACGGCGGGCCCACCTTGAGCCATGACACAGCTCTTGCCCCGTCAAACCGCTTGCGCCGCGCCAGGCGTCGATCTCCTGAGTTCTAGGGGAGGAGGAACAGGACAGGGATACAGATGCAGAACTATTGTGTCGATTGTGCAAGCAAGCACGCTGTTATACAACGCGAGGGCCGCGCAATTCTGCGACGAGCGTGAGAGCAGAGAGAGAGGCCCCCCAGCTCCCAACCCGCGGCGTCAACGATGGTGATCCCTTTCCCATTACCAGCTCCGTCCACAGAGCCACCATCTGTAGGCCCGCCTCCCTCGTGAAAGGGCCAAGGGGGGGCATATTCAAGGATTGGAACTCAGCTTTCAGCCCTCCTTTGCCTCCGCTTGGGAAAGGCGAGGAAACAGACGAAGGAGGAGGAAGGAACTGAAGGTGAGGATGTGGAGCCCGCCCCCATCCGGTCCATCCCCATAACCTTCCGCTCTCCTCATCCCCCCCATCCATGCTCCTCCTCGTCTCCATTTCGCCTTCTCTTCCTCCTTCTACTGGTTTTCATCGTCCTCGTCATCCTCGCTCCTGGCCCTCATCATTGGCCCCCCTCCTCCTGATCTTCATCCACAGATTCCCGACCTCTTCAGCTTGAGTCTTTGCAGGAGGCACGTGAACCGTCCTCCGAATTCCGGAGCTGCACCTCGCGGGGAGGTTTGTCTACGCCACACATAAGATGATACATAACCAAGATGTCAATGTTTGGTTGTGCGCGTCCTGTGGAATGCTCGGCGATCAGCAGCTCTTGGGGTTGGCTAAGGTGTGCGTGGCGAAGGCCATCCCGACCAGAGCTGTCTGTCGCGGTAGAATTCAGAGAGGTATGCGTCCTAAGGTATACAGTACGGCAGAGAAGGGCAGGCGAGCCCAGAAGGGGCTTCCGTGTTGAGTTCTGTTGTTTTGGACATTGTCCTCGGACTCTTATTCTTACTCCTTCTCCTTTTCCTCCTCCTCCTCCTCCTCCTCCTCCTCCTCCTCCTCCTCCTCTCCCTTCCTACTTGCCATCATTTTCCTCTTACCCCTTCTTCTCCTCATGTTTCCTCCTCCTCCCGTCCTCCTCCTCTTCTTCCTCCTCCTCATCCTCATCTTCCTTCCTCCACTCTCATCCTCTATCCCCGTCTTCCCTTATTCGTCCGTGCTCCCTCCTCCACTCCAGCCCCCCGTAGCCCGCCCATCCACCCCCATGTCCCCCTCCCCGTCCCGTACCCTTCGCTGGTGGAGGGCACGGGGGGGCGGGGCGGGAAAAAACGGAGGGAATCTACCCCGAGTGTACATAACCAAATCATTTGGTTACGCTCGAAAGGGTTGCGCGTAACCAAAACGCAAAGAGTGGTTACGAGCGACCTCTCACACACATGAGCTACCAAAATGCATTGAACACTCCGGTGACCAAATTGTTCCGAATTTTCGCAACCAAGTCACAACCAAATTCCATAAACCGTGACCGAACCATAACCAAATCGTAACCAAAGCATAACCAAATCATAACTAAACCGTAAGTATATCGAAACGACCATGTTCGACATTGCCCCTGGGGCTGAAGAAGGGGGCGGGCGAAGCAGGAGGGAGTCTGCCCAAGCTTGTACATGTGGTTTCCATAATGTTGGCTAAAGACCTAAAGAACAGCCCCAAGTGTTGGCTTAGCGTGGCCACGGAGCCTCCAAAATACGCCCCTGACGTTGCGAAATCCATGGGTATGCAGTGTGCCTGTCAGGCAGATGTTCGCTGTATCGCCTAATTACTCGCCCCCGATGGGCCTTTGATGCCCCAAGATGTTGCAAGAGATGGCTGACCGCTCCCCCCGAACAAATAATAAGAAATACGCATGAATAAGGAGAGGGGGCCCTCCTCCTCCTCCTCCTCCTCCTCCTCCTCCTCACCCTCGTCCTCCTGCAGTCTTCCGTCTTCCTCGTCCTCCTCCTCCGTGCCCCATAAGGAGCTCCACCTATGGCACCACTGGGTGCTTCCGCATGGCGCCGTCATCCCCATTTCAACATACACCTCACAGTGATCACGCACCGTTCGGAGGTCGACCTATGCCCCCAGCGGGTGCGTCCGCATGGAGCTTTCCCCGTGTCGGCATTCCCCTATCGAGGATCGTGCCTCATACGGAGCTCGACCTATGGCACCAACAGGTGCGTCCGCATGGTGCCGCAGTCCTCATTTCGGCGTACTCCTCATAAGATCGTACCTCATGGGGAACTCCAGCTATGGCCCCAGCGGGTGTGTCTGGATGGCGCCGCCATCCCCGTGTCGGCACATGTTCCATTAGGTTCGCGCCCCTCATGGGTCTCCACCTATGGCCCTAACCAGTCCGTCCGCATGGCGCCGCTGCTACCAAATCTGCCCCGTAGGGCGTTCTACTGGGAATTATTCCGCGTATACGCTTTCCCCGCCAATTGCGGCACAACCCTCACGCGAGGCGTGCCAAATGGGAATCCTCACCTGGCCCACTGGTTGTGCAGGCATGGCGTCCCTGCCCATTTCGGCACACCCCTCACGCGGAGCGTGCCCCTCAGGGAATTCCACCAATGGGCTGAATGGAGGTGCTCGCACGGCGCTGTCGCCCCATTTCGGCACACCCCTTACGTGGATCGTCTCCTCTGGGACCTCCACTTCTTGCCCTGTTGGGCGTGACACATGTGCTCCCCGTCGATTTCAGCACTTTCCTCACAAGTACTATGCCCCACAGGGAGTTCGGCGCCCTCCTGCCCACCTCTTCGGCAGCTCCCGATCCTGACTGCCCTGCGGCGCGCATCGTAAAAAGAACATGCCATGCTCCACGCCACATGCAGCTGCATCATGCTGCATCAGGCCTGGCTCTTCGCAACACTGACTATTCAGCTGCCTACGGCAAGTCCCGCCACCGCACCTGGGTTGTGGGTTATAGGCCTCTTGGATGTTCGCTCGGATATCGCGGGAGGCATCTCGGGGGCCTGTTGGATGCAGTTTGCACAGGCCTCTTGGGAGCCGCCTGGAGGCCTTTTCAGGGGCTTCATTTTGGCCTCTTGGGGGGGCCTCTTCGGGGTTTCTTGGGGCTTCCTGGAGGCCTCTTTGGGCCTCCTGGGGTATTGCAGGGGCTTTGCAGGGTATAGTGTTTGCATGGTCTTTGCTGCATGGTCTTTGCAGGGGGGGCGGTGCAGTCGCTGGTCTGCGTCCCGCGGAGGGGGGCCCTTTAGAAGAATACAGGCTACAGAAACCCTGCCAGGCAGCACTTGGGCACATCATCCGTTTCCACGACGGACCCCACTTAGCCAAAACGTAACCAAATCGTAACCATATTTGAACGTATCCAAATCGTAACCAAATTTGACATAGCGTAACCAAATCGTAACCAAATTTGAATGTTTCATAACCAACTCATAACCAAGTCACACTTCGTATTCAAATTTTGCGCAACCAAATCAAAACAATGCACCCTTCTCATACAAACATAGCCCAACAAGAGGGCGATTTGGCTATGCACGTGCACGCAACAAACCATGGTAAATTACAATACGTTGGGCGCTTGATTTGGTTACGACATCTTGTCTTCTAGGGCATATGTGTGTATTTTTATTACCAGATGTATACATGTATTTAGCTGCTCACCATGCGGTATACACCGAGTTTTGGCCCGAATTGCGTCTCTGGCAGCGGCCGCTCTGGGTTCGAAATCCATGCCTCCTGGTGATTCGCGCAGGGTGCCTCTTCCGCGACACAGGTTGAGTTGCAAGACGCATAGAATTTGAGCACGCGCGCATGAAGGTTCTAGCGCTGCGGCTA